TTTTCGACGAACGACCAGTTAGACGGTTTCGAAAGGACGATCGCAAATATTTGCCTCGTTATTATTTTACGACGGTGCTTTGTCGAACGTTGGATTATCCGTTTACTACGATCCACCACCCTTCGCCGCGCCGAGAGAGAAACCCTGGCCGACGTACTTACGCGCTCTCCGCTTTTCCAGCTTTTCGCGTAACGCGATCAGAATTATTATCGATTTGCCGATTTTTCATCGGCGCTCGCGCGTATACCAAGAGCACGCGTCGGTAAGGGGAAACTCGGTATCGCGAATTTTGTTATTACGTTGTTAAATTTGAAACATAGGCGAAGACAATTTGGCAGAATTTTCCATTCGCGAACAAAAGCAGCAGTCGAAGACGTTCGACCCGCGAGTCACAGATGGCATTAGTTCGCTATACGTAGTTTTGCAGCGTCGCGCATGGTCGAGGAGGGTTGCGATTCGCGTTGCGCTTCTAAAAATCGGCCCGCGAGACCGTCTCGACGGTCAGAGGGCGGACTCCGAAGTTCGGTTGGAAGCGCTGGTCTGGTGCGCGAAGATAACCGGTGGCACAGCGGGGGCGTTTTAGGGGCGGTGTTCGCGTTCCTGAGGGACTCGACTTGTTTTTCCCTGGAGGAAAGCTCGGCAACGAACGAGCCGTTCCGGAGCAGCGAGAAACCACTCGCACCGTTTCGACCGATAACGCCCGCATAAAACAGGCGAAACCGCATCGACGCGGCTCGCAACGGACCACCACGAGACCGACGACAACGACTTCGAAGCGTTTCAGACCAACTTCGTTTCCGTTCCCCGGCTCGCATGGGAAAATAACCGACTATTTTTCTCTTATCGTCGACGGTTCCGTGCCTCGATTACGAACAAGCGCCCGTCGCTACTCGCGTTCTCGCTCGCTACGGATTGTTCAGCTGTCTCTTCCGCGGCGACCAAAAGGAAAAAAAAAGCGAATCGCGTTTGCAAAGGACTCGGGAGAGCGTCGGTAACCCCTATAAACGTGACCGCAGGTGGCCGAACCGAGCCTTTCTCCTTCTTTCTTCTTCTCTCTTTCTCTCTACTCGCTTACACGGAGAAATTAATTCCCCCTATTCGCCGAACGCGTGTACCGCGTAGTCCGGATCGTTGCGCGAAACGTTGCGATCCAATTACCGATCGCGGGATCGATCGATCGAGTCGACGATCGAGCCGAATCGAAATCGCGGGAGGAGGAAGGAAACGGTGAAAGCGAAAGAGAAAGACGCGTTAAACGTCGTCGCGGTTTATCTGCGCGTCCTTGGCTAATCTCTGTCCGTGAAAGATTACCCTATCACCGCCAGCGGTTACGCTACGTCTCCGTCGTTCTGTACGCGTAGGCGTTTCCATCATCCCTATCGTTCGCGTAGCTTTCGTTGCATCGGTGTCTACTCGTCTCCTCGCTTTCAGCGAAAACGCGGCACACCGTCTCCTTTTTGCTAGCGCGCGTCTTCCGATATTCCTTTCGACCCGCCGACACGACATCCGCCACGAAACTAATTCGAAGAAGCCACTCTACTTTCCTTATTTTTCGACGCGGCCGTATACGCGATGTTCCTTGAAACGGTTCGAGACGGCCGAATCGTTATCGAGACGAGCGCGGTAGCTAAAAAAAACGACGTCGATATCGACGATCGAGGACGCTCGCGTTCGAGGACGTTCCGATAACGCGGTCGATTCGTGTACGCGGGACAAACTCGCGCGACCAATGTCCTCCTGGGTAAAATTTCTACGATCGTTTCTACGGCGAAACGGGAAAAGCCCCGAAAACGGTTGGCGCGACGAACGAACCCGGTATCGCGATTAGGCCGCGATACGCGAAAAGGTATATCACCTCCCGATGAACTTGGGAAAAAAAATTGATCGAGAGAAAGCGAAATAGTAGCGAGTAAAAAAAACGCAAAGTAATAAGGGGCAAAAGGGAGGAGGCAAAGCGGTACGATGCGCGTTACGTTGGGTCATGCTGCGAAGCGTTATCGCGGTGCGGCGAGGAGCGGAGAGACGCTCGACCGATACCTTATCTGGAGTAGTTGCACGCCGACAGTGGTTCTCAACCGGTTGCCCGACTCTTTTTCGTACGATCCGTAGAAACAGCCACGTTCGGACACGCGAGGAAAAAGCGCGGTACGTTCGGACGCGCGTATCGACGACATCCTCCCCCGGCGAACGACGACGGAGCGGGACGCGAGAAAATTTTCCAGGGGGAAAACGAGTACGTTCGATGTTTACCGGTCGTGCTCGACGATCGAGGAGGAACGTACCGGCGCGGCAGGTACGCGCGAAAACGCGTAAGCGACTCGCGAGCACGAATCTCGACTAGGCCAACGGGCCGAAACAAGACTACTGACAGAACGGAGCTAAACGTTTGTTGGTCGAGCACCGGTGTATCGCGAGATAACCGGTATCGCGGTAGCTGCTACACCGGCCGATAGAACGCCACCCACCATTCCGCGTTGCACGCTGTCGAGACAGAAAACGCCGCGTGACGAATATAAACGTACATGTACGCGTCGCGTCCCATCGGCTCG